CAGGTGTTGCCATTTCATTTTTCAGAACTCAGTGTCGATTTCACTCAAGAGTCTCTCCGAGTTGTTGGTTTTTTAGGCTGCACCTGCCAGGCAGATCAACTTCTGCCCCTGCAGCCCTCTTGTGCTGAGCTGGGATGAGATCTGTTTCTCTCTTCTCTTCATCAGGATCGCAACATGATTCTCGGGAAACACGGCTTCTTTGTCAACCCCTCCGACTCCGTCGCCGTCATCGCTGCCAACATCTTCAGTATCCCCTACTTCCAGCAGACAGGAGTCCGTGGCTTTGCCCGCAGCATGCCCACCAGTGGGGCCCTCGACAGGTAGCACCTGCCTCTAAGGGGTGGGAGAATGGAGGGGAGCCTTGCCAAGATGGGGACTGTCCGTTCTTTGTGGCTTGACACGTATCTATAGTGGGGAGTGATGTGTGGTCTGCCTGAGGGGTGAAGCAGTGCCAGGGCCCCCTGCCAGGGGAGGCAGGGGGGTTTCATGAGTTAAATCCCGTCTGGGGACATGGCAGACCTGGGATTTGCTCTTGGCTCTTTCTCTTCTCTACAGATGTGCCCAGACAAATGATCCTCCCCACCCTTTTTGTTCAGTAATTGGATAATGATACTTTGTTTGTTAAATGCTTCAACATCTACAACTTAAAATTGTTTTAGAAGAGTTTAGATATGTGTTTGTATCTATTCTTTAGTTGCACATCCCACCCATTTCCCAAACACCACCCCTGGATAAAATAGAGGATTGCTATACAAAGAATTATTAATTATAAACAACCAAACCAGTGGCATGACCTGCCTTCAGTGTCACCCCAAAAGAGATGCTTGGTAGCTCCTGTTTCACATGGGAGTGCTAAGAGTCCAGCTCTGATGTGACTTGGCTTTCTTACCTCTGAAGGGTGGCCCATGCGACAAAGATCGCTTTGTATGAAACTCCAACTGGCTGGAAGTTCTTTGGAAACTTGATGGATGCAAACAAACTGTCTCTGTGTGGAGAGGAGAGTTTTGGTACTGGTAAGTCCATGTTTCTGGTGTCACCAACAAGGGGGTTATTCCTCCTCTTAGCTCTTTGTTGTCCTGGGTAGCTTGATATTTGTCTTTCATGTGTAGTTGTTAATGCTTCTAAAATAATAAAAGTAAAAAAACCTTGCAAGAATCACTGCTGGAAACAAACAATGCTAAAAATTTTGTCATGCAAGAGCTAGTTCTCCTTTCAGTTATTTAGGAAGGCATAGGTAGATATGCAGGAAGTTTAAGGGCCTCTTTACTAGCCCGGTCATTGAGTCTGTGGGGATTAAGTGCAGTGTTAAATGTATTTTTCAACTCTTGGTGGCCAGGAAAACCTTCTAAATGTTTTCATTTCTGGAAAGAAATATGGTTTGGAGTATGCAGTTTTATTAGGGAAGGTTTCAGGTCACTATTAAATCTCTGAGCTTAATAGGGCCCTCATTTTCCTGTTCTAAAAACAAGGTATGATTTATAAAGTTTAAATTAACACTTGCCTTTGAACAGTCTAAGCAAGTTATTAGGTTACTGAGAAACAAAGTGGACATCTTAAAGAATTTACTGGAGCTGTGCATGTGACACAAAACTATTATTTGTGCAGGGAAGTTAAAGTGAGCAGATTTTGCTTTGCATCAGAGCAGCGTGCTGAAAACATGGGGCGTTCCCGGGAGGCCGCAGCCGTTTCTGAGGTTTCCTGTGGCATCTACCACATGGTTTAAACGTCCTGACTATGGAAGTGGGACCTTCCCTGCATCCAGGAGGTCAGCACTTAGTTCATGCACAAAGGTTGAGATTTATCTGGCCTGAATTCTCCCTGAGATCTTGTTTTTCCTCTTCTCTAAAAACCCCTGAAGACTGGGGGCAGCTGGTAGGAGGATACAAAGCACAGGGTCTTGAGGAAGTTTAGGTAGGATGATTTGAGGCTCAAACCTTGTGTTTTTTTCACTCCACCATCCCATACTTCAGAAAAACATTTTAGCCTGTATGTGGGTCTCTCACAGAGCAGGGATGGCCTTAAATCCCCAAGTGCCTGCAGTGCTTTGTGGAACTGGGATGCATAACTTGATGTGACAGGATTGTTCCAGCTCTTCTGTAGCTGAGGAAATGGCATCAAGAATTCTGGCTGAAAGCAGCTGAAGGGCAAAAGCAGACTTCAGTGGCAATATTTTTGAAATCAAATGAAATTCTGATACTTGGGATTTAGCCTGGGGTCGGAAGAAGGGGTAATTTCAGAAAATGTGATCTCTCTAAAGAAATTTTTGAAGTAAAGGAAGATTTGGGAGTTATGCCCTGAATGATTTCTGCCTGTGTTAAGTTTATGTTATGGACTTTGGCTAATGAGAAGACACCAGCATTTCAGTCAATAAATAAAAACAAAAAGCAGCAAATGATTCATGCTGATAGGAGATGGTCTCTAATGAGCAGCTCTCTAAAATTGTTTCCATTTTTTATTGTACAAGCAGTTAGCTCATAGTTTCTCTCCATCCCCCAACAGGTAAGTGACTCTACATCACAAATAAAAGCCAATCATTCTGTTTGCAGCAGGAGCTGAGAGAGAGCTTTGGGATTTTGGCCTTGCAGCATCATGTCTGCCCAGGGACTGAAACAATTTTTTTGGGGGAAAAAGATTAAGAAAAGGCCCAGGAGTGTTGGACACCCTCTGTCATGTTTGTCCATCTGGCAAATGCACTTTAAGGGATGAAAAGGGAAGAGGAAGATTGTTTGATAGCAAGTTAATGAGGACTTGTTTGGAGCTGGACAGAATGTGAGTGGTGAAGGGGAGAGAGGTGAAGGAGCAGCCGAATAGACCCAGTAAAAACTGAAACAAACTGTGACCCAGTGGGACTGGAGTCCAGGAGCAATTAGAGTAATGCGACATGACAGAATTCCTGCTTACTTTCCTGGGTATTTTATTCCAGCAATAAGTTGATACATCACATGGGACTTCTGTTTATTTAGCATTCCTCTCCATCACCTCTGCACAGCTCTCTCTGCTGTAAAGGACCACAAGGATAATTTATTGCCACGTCCACAATAGTGGGATTTGTGTAAAGCCCCACATATGTAACCCCTACCCCAGCTCCCAACCTTTTTCCCCATATGATTGTCCACTCTGGCAACTCTTGAGAGGGTAGAATGGCAGCTCTGGAGCATTCTCTGGATTGGCAGGCATACCCTGGCTCCTTGGGATTTCAGATTTGAAGGTTTTTCAGAGCTCAGAGGGTAAAACTCCCAAGTTGTGCATGGGTGGGACACAGCACTGAACTTGCAGGCCAGGAGCATGGAGGCTGGGTTGGATGTATTCTGGGCTGCCATTTGATCCCTTGTTTAATTTAGGTGTTCAGGGTGCTGTCTGTGTTGCAATACCCTCTCAGGTTTCTTGAGGGATGGGCTGCTGTGTGGTCCCTGCTGCTGTCAGCCCCAGCCCAGTCTGCTCCCAGGCCAAGGCTGGGCTGCCTCTGGTGGCCTCCATTCAGATGTTTTGGAGGAATCCTTTTCTAGCCAAAACAGGGTCTTCTGCAGCCTTTCAGTGCCTGGTGTCTGGGAGTGGGAGTGGGCACGAATCCAGAGGAGGCCATGGAGATGATCAGAGGGCTTGGAGCAGCTCTGCTATGGAGACAGGCTGAGAGAGTGGGAGTGTTCAGCCTGGAGAAAAGAAGGCTCCAGAGGGACATTAAAGCACCTTCCAGTGCCTGAAGAGGCTGTAGGAAAGCTGGGGAGGGGCTTTTTTACAAGGGCAGGGAGCAATGGGATGAGGGGGAATGGTTTCAAACTGAAAGAGGGGAGATTCAGAGTGGATATTAGGAAGAAATTATTTGCTGTGAGGGTGGTGAGACCCTGGCCCAGGTTGCCCAGGGAAGCTGTGGCTGCCCCATGCCTGGAAGTGTTCAGGGCCAGATTGGATGGGGCTTGGAGCAACCTGGGTTGGTGGAAGATTTGTTGAAAGAAGACCTAGTTGAAACTAGGTCATTTTTAAGGTCCCCTCCAACCCAGACAATCCTGTGACTCTCTGGTTTCTGGACATGGATGAAGTCTCTCCTGGCACTGTTGATTGCTGTTGCTGTCCCACCAACTGCTGTCCACTCTGTTGTGGGGTAATTTCAGAGTCATTAGGGTTTGGCTTCCTCAGCAAGGGCTGACATTTTTCTTGGTGTCCAGCCAGAATATGTACTGATCAGAGTGTGCTGATTTGGCAGATGATGCATGACAGCTGCTTAAAGAGGTTGATGTTAGTCCTTCCTGAGCTGCTCCTTTGCATTTGCCTTCTCTGTTGTTTTTTTTTTTTTAATGACCTTTTTACTGTGCATTTCTCATTACTTCTTGGGAGTGGAATTAAGGTTCTGTGACCAATGAGTGTGTGTGTGTGTTAAAAGGGGCTGAATGTTTTATTTGGGCTGCAGCTAAAAACATATCTTGAACCGTTTTAACAATGCAGCAGGGATCAACCCCGTGAACTCCCTTCCATTTGTGAGCTTGTATGGCTGCCAGTTGGATGGGGGAGAGAAGACAGGGGTAGAGTGGTAGCACAGACTCTCATGTGAAGGTGGGAAATGTGTTTCTTCTGTGGCTCTCTGCAGGCTCCGACCACATCCGTGAGAAGGACGGGCTGTGGGCTGTCCTGGCTTGGCTGTCCATACTAGCCACGCGCAAGCCTTCACCAGGTCCCTCTGTCCTGTGTTTGACCCTCCAAGGTCAGAGCCCTAAGCTCTGGTGCCAGCAGCATGTGCCACCACAGTGCTGCCTTGTCACACTGGCTGTTTCTGTGGTGCTGCAGCGTGCAGCTTAGCTTGGTTCAAGAAAACCATGGGTATTCACCTTAACCTTTCCTGATGTCCAGTTTAGGATTTGTTACTCTAAACATCTTTTTTTTCTCTGAGTGGAAACTGTTTTTCTTGCAAGAGCCTTTTTTTGCCATTGGAACAGTGTGTTTCTTGAGGCCACAAAGTTCATTTGTAGTATCTTCAGTGATGGCAATGTCTTGTAGCATGGATACCCAGCTCCTTGGCCATTATTTAACTGGTGGAGTTTCTGTCCAGTTCCCAAATACTCCAGTGGGCACGGAAGATGAAAAGAGCAGGAGTGAGAACCAACCTGCACATAAGGAGATGTGGGAACGCTGTCAGGAGTGACAGCATTAAGCAGAAATCTTTCAACTTGGAAGACCAACATGAAAATTGTCTCAAATTGCCAAATGAAAGAACTTGCTTTTTCCTTTTTTAAAATTTATTTTTAGTTTTTCTTCTTTTTTCTTCCCCCCCCCCAAAGCCAACACACATCTGAGGTGTTCAAACCTGTGGAAAAAAATGCCAAAGTCTAGAATAAAAAGGCAGTCTGTTAGCACCAGAGGTATGTCTGCACAGCAAGAGAAGTGCACTGAGGCAGGTTAGCAAGCCTGTGCCTGCTCTATCCATCCAGCTGGGTGAATAACTGTGGTGCAGATCTCTCTGGCAATCTGAGTACAAAGTCTGGGATCCTGCTGTGAGCTTCAGCCCCTCTCTGCTGCCTCTTTCCTGGGTGCAGGAGATCAAAGCTGGCACTGGTATGTTATCACGTGCTGCCATCATGCCGCTGTGGGGATGCACAGGAGGATGCGCAGGCAAAATTGTTATCGTGAAGAACCTGTCGAGATCCTATCATCAGCATTAGAATAAATTCCTTGCAGTCATTGTAGTTGGAGTCTAGCCCTGATGTGCCCAGTGCAAGGCAGCACAACTGGTGCTTTCATCTCTCCTGATGCTGAATGTCTGATATGTTGCAGTGTATCCCACAGACTCGTATCAGATGGCAGCCGTGTTGCTGCTCAGATCCTCCTCTGTTCTCCTACTGCCCTCTCCTCCAACAAGGGAGTAGATAACATACACAGGGCAGACCACAGAGGCTGAACAGGGGTGTCACAAAACACTACTGCTCATCACAGCCTCCCCTTCCTAATCTTTGTTTCTTGGTGCCTGGTTGTAGATACGACTATGAAGAGGTGGATGCAGATGCTGCTAACAAAATGATGAAGGATTTGGAGGCAACGATGTTTGACCGCTCCTTCGTGGGGAAGCAGCTGTCCTGTGGTGACAAAGTCTACACGGTGGAGAAAGCAGATAACTTTGAGTACAATGATCCCGTGGATGGAAGTGTCTCCAGAAACCAGGTGGGCACAGTCTGGCCTGAGCTGAATGTGACCTCAGAGAGGTGTTACACTATGTGTTTTGGGCTTAGTCTTTGTCTGTTGCATTTGCACCTGCTTTCAATTAAAAAATTACTTGGAAAAAAATTTCTGCCCTTTGTTGACTGGGTGGAGCCTTGCCCTGTGTGAGGGAAATTGCTGCCTTGGAGAGGGAAGGGTCTGGAGGCTGCTCCCTCCCCAGCAGGGCCTGGAGGGGGTGCAGAAGTTCCCTACAGCCACCCTGAAGGGGAAGGAGTGACAGGGCTGAGTTGATGGGTGTCCTCTGGGTGATGGGTCAGTGGCTGAGAAAGGATTTGTGCTGAAGGAAGGGTTGAAACCCCTCTGAAGTATAAGGCACAAACCCTCCCATTCTCAGGTATTGCTTGGTCTCTAGCTCTAGACCCCCAGGTTGCTGCAAGACAGTCCTCCTTGGACATGTCTGTCCCTGAACTGATGGGTATCCTGTGCCTGTCCCCTTGGGGACAGGCACAGCTCAGGCTGGTTTTCAGTGGGGATTGAGTTCCAGGCTCCTGAATGCACAGGGGTATTAAATACACATGTGACAAGTGACCTGTCACCAGAGGTTATTGAATAAAAATGTCCTGGGAGTGGACTGGATTGACAGCAGAATGTGGAGGTATAGCAAGTAGGAAGGAATAACGGAGAAACCTGCAGGAATTATTGCCTTGCCTGTGGGGTGACAGGAGCAGTTTCTTTACGTTCTATTTTTGTGGAAGAGCAGTGGTTTGGTAGTGCTGTGCCTGGCAGAGAATCCAGCCCTGGCTCTGGTTTCCAAGCAAGCGCTGGGGCGAGGGACCTTGCAGCACCAACGCGCTTTGTGTTCAGGAGCTCTGGCAAGTCCTCCTGGGTGAGGAGGGACACTTGCTCCTCTGGGTGTGGCGGGGGGATAACAGAGGAGCCACCTGTGGCTCCACAAAAAGGAGGAGCTCTGGGATCGTGCGAGTTAGGCATAGCCATGGTGGGGGTACCAAGAGGCTCTTCTCCCCTTCTGCCCCTCCAGGGCTTGCGGCTCATCTTCTCTGACGGCTCCCGCATCATCTTCCGGCTGAGCGGGACGGGCAGCGCCGGGGCCACTGTGCGCCTCTACATCGACAGCTATGAGAAGGATGCTCAGAAGATACATGAGGACCCCCAGGTAGGCCTTGCATCTGTGCTGTGGCACCACTGGCTCCCAGTCTCCCAAACAAGCATAGATCTTTGCTTAGTGCTGCTTTGCTTAGAGCTGCGCCAAGGTGTGAGGAGTTTTGGAAGCAAGGGCTTTGGTATCTTTAATGCCAGTATTTATTAAAATAAAAAAGCTCTGTGCAAGATTGGATGGGGCTTGGAGCAACCTGGGTTGGTGGAAGATTTGTTGAAAGAAGACCTAGTTGAAACTAGGTCATTTTTAAGGTCCCCTCCAACCCAGACAATCCTGTGACTCTCTGGTTTCTGGACATGGATGAAGTCTCTCCTGGCACTGTTGATTGCTGTTGCTGTCCCACCAACTGCTGTCCACTCTGTTGTGGGGTAATTTCAGAGTCATTAGGGTTTGGCTTCCTCAGCAAGGGCTGACATTTTTCTTGGTGTCCAGCCAGAATATGTACTGATCAGAGTGTGCTGATTTGGCAGATGATGCATGACAGCTGCTTAAAGAGGTTGATGTTAGTCCTTCCTGAGCTGCTCCTTTGCATTTGCCTTCTCTGTTGTTTTTTTTTTTTTAATGACCTTTTTACTGTGCATTTCTCATTACTTCTTGGGAGTGGAATTAAGGTTCTGTGACCAATGAGTGTGTGTGTGTGTTAAAAGGGGCTGAATGTTTTATTTGGGCTGCAGCTAAAAACATATCTTGAACCGTTTTAACAATGCAGCAGGGATCAACCCCGTGAACTCCCTTCCATTTGTGAGCTTGTATGGCTGCCAGTTGGATGGGGGAGAGAAGACAGGGGTAGAGTGGTAGCACAGACTCTCATGTGAAGGTGGGAAATGTGTTTCTTCTGTGGCTCTCTGCAGGCTCCGACCACATCCGTGAGAAGGACGGGCTGTGGGCTGTCCTGGCTTGGCTGTCCATACTAGCCACGCGCAAGCAGAGTGTGGAGGACATCATGAAGGATCACTGGCAGAAGTATGGCAGGAACTTCTTCACCAGGTACCTCTGTCCTGTGTTTGACCCTCCAAGGTCAGAGCCCTAAGCTCTGGTGCCAGCAGCATGTGCCACCACAGTGCTGCCTTGTCACACTGGCTGTTTCTGTGGTGCTGCAGCGTGCAGCTTAGCTTGGTTCAAGAAAACCATGGGTATTCACCTTAACCTTTCCTGATGTCCAGTTTAGGATTTGTTACTCTAAACATCTTTTTTTTCTCTGAGTGGAAACTGTTTTTCTTGCAAGAGCCTTTTTTTGCCATTGGAACAGTGTGTTTCTTGAGGCCACAAAGTTCATTTGTAGTATCTTCAGTGATGGCAATGTCTTGTAGCATGGATACCCAGCTCCTTGGCCATTATTTAACTGGTGGAGTTTCTGTCCAGTTCCCAAATACTCCAGTGGGCACGGAAGATGAAAAGAGCAGGAGTGAGAACCAACCTGCACATAAGGAGATGTGGGAACGCTGTCAGGAGTGACAGCATTAAGCAGAAATCTTTCAACTTGGAAGACCAACATGAAAATTGTCTCAAATTGCCAAATGAAAGAACTTGCTTTTTCCTTTTTTAAAATTTATTTTTAGTTTTTCTTCTTTTTTCTTCCCCCCCCCCAAAGCCAACACACATCTGAGGTGTTCAAACCTGTGGAAAAAAATGCCAAAGTCTAGAATAAAAAGGCAGTCTGTTAGCACCAGAGGTATGTCTGCACAGCAAGAGAAGTGCACTGAGGCAGGTTAGCAAGCCTGTGCCTGCTCTATCCATCCAGCTGGGTGAATAACTGTGGTGCAGATCTCTCTGGCAATCTGAGTACAAAGTCTGGGATCCTGCTGTGAGCTTCAGCCCCTCTCTGCTGCCTCTTTCCTGGGTGCAGGAGATCAAAGCTGGCACTGGTATGTTATCACGTGCTGCCATCATGCCGCTGTGGGGATGCACAGGAGGATGCGCAGGCAAAATTGTTATCGTGAAGAACCTGTCGAGATCCTATCATCAGCATTAGAATAAATTCCTTGCAGTCATTGTAGTTGGAGTCTAGCCCTGATGTGCCCAGTGCAAGGCAGCACAACTGGTGCTTTCATCTCTCCTGATGCTGAATGTCTGATATGTTGCAGTGTATCCCACAGACTCGTATCAGATGGCAGCCGTGTTGCTGCTCAGATCCTCCTCTGTTCTCCTACTGCCCTCTCCTCCAACAAGGGAGTAGATAACATACACAGGGCAGACCACAGAGGCTGAACAGGGGTGTCACAAAACACTACTGCTCATCACAGCCTCCCCTTCCTAATCTTTGTTTCTTGGTGCCTGGTTGTAGATACGACTATGAAGAGGTGGATGCAGATGCTGCTAACAAAATGATGAAGGATTTGGAGGCAACGATGTTTGACCGCTCCTTCGTGGGGAAGCAGCTGTCCTGTGGTGACAAAGTCTACACGGTGGAGAAAGCAGATAACTTTGAGTACAATGATCCCGTGGATGGAAGTGTCTCCAGAAACCAGGTGGGCACAGTCTGGCCTGGGCTGAACGTGACCTCAGAGAGGTGTTACACTATGTGTTTTGGGCTTAGTCTTTGTCTGTTGCATTTGCACCTGCTTTCAATTAAAAAATTACTTGGAAAAAAATTTCTGCCCTTTGTTGACTGGGTGGAGCCTTGCCCTGTGTGAGGGAAATTGCTGCCTTGGAGAGGGAAGGGTCTGGAGGCTGCTCCCTCCCCAGCAGGGCCTGGAGGGGGTGCAGAAGTTCCCTACAGCCACCCTGAAGGGGAAGGAGTGACAGGGCTGAGTTGATGGGTGTCCTCTGGGTGATGGGTCAGTGGCTGAGAAAGGATTTGTGCTGAAGGAAGGGTTGAAACCCCTCTGAAGTATAAGGCACAAACCCTCCCATTCTCAGGTATTGCTTGGTCTCTAGCTCTAGACCCCCAGGTTGCTGCAAGACAGTCCTCCTTGGACATGTCTGTCCCTGAACTGATGGGTATCCTGTGCCTGTCCCCTTGGGGACAGGCACAGCTCAGGCTGGTTTTCAGTGGGGATTGAGTTCCAGGCTCCTGAATGCACAGGGGTATTAAATACACATGTGACAAGTGACCTGTCACCAGAGGTTATTGAATAAAAATGTCCTGGGAGTGGACTGGATTGACAGCAGAATGTGGAGGTATAGCAAGTAGGAAGGAATAACGGAGAAACCTGCAGGAATTATTGCCTTGCCTGTGGGGTGACAGGAGCAGTTTCTTTACGTTCTATTTTTGTGGAAGAGCAGTGGTTTGGTAGTGCTGTGCCTGGCAGAGAATCCAGCCCTGGCTCTGGTTTCCAAGCAAGCGCTGGGGCAAGGGACCTTGCAGCACTAACGCGCTTTGTGTTCAGGAGCTCTGGCAAGTCCTCCTGGGTGAGGAGGGACACTTGCTCCTCTGGGTGTGGCGGGGGGATAACAGAGGAGCCACCTGTGGCTCCACAAAAAGGAGGAGCTCTGGGATCGTGCGAGTTAGGCATAGCCATGGTGGGGGTACCAAGAGGCTCTTCTCCCCTTCTGCCCCTCCAGGGCTTGCGGCTCATCTTCTCTGACGGCTCCCGCATCATCTTCCGGCTGAGCGGGACGGGCAGCGCCGGGGCCACTGTGCGCCTCTACATCGACAGCTATGAGAAGGATGCTCAGAAGATACATGAGGACCCCCAGGTAGGCCTTGCATCTGTGCTGTGGCACCACTGGCTCCCAGTCTCCCAAACAAGCATAGATCTTTGCTTAGTGCTGCTTTGCTTAGAGCTGCGCCAAGGTGTGAGGAGTTTTGGAAGCAAGGGCTTTGGTATCTTTAATGCCAGTATTTATTAAAATAAAAAAGCTCTGTGCAACAAGCATTATTTATTCAGAATCCCTCCAAGCTGCTCCTGCAATGGCTCATTAGTTCTCCTGTTTGTTTGTGTTACATTTGTGGCTGGTTGCAGGTGTGGGAGGACACTGCTTCAGTCCTGACCTGACCTTCTAGTTGAAATGATGCATCACTAGGGAGAAAATGAGCTCATTCCTCTACCAAATTTGGGAAATACGTGTTCAAAACAAATGAATGAGGGCAAAAAGGATGCAGTTGGATGCAAGATGACACTGACCTGTCCTGTATTAAGTGTAATACATGTTCTTTACAGCATCATTTAAAAATGCCGTTGACCTCTCTTGTTAGCAGGGAAGGAAAAGAATCCTCATTTTGTATTCCCCCTCAAGCAGTCTTTGAGCTCTTTTTGCATAACTTACTGTGCCATTATGTACACAAAGACTAAAAAATCCCATATTCTAAGGGAAATAAACTAAACTTATGGTTTAACTGTCCCATGCAAAGGAGTCCTTTGGTGCAAAGGAGTCCTTTGGTTCAAAGGAGTTTGGGGTAGGGCACAATGAGGGTGGCAGCAGCTCTGGAGCTGTGCTTGGCTTTTCTCTGCAAACAGAATCACAGACTGGTTTGAATTGGAAGGGACCTCAAAGATCATCTAGACCCAAACTCCCTGCCATGGGCAGGGACACCTCCCACCAGACCAGGTTGCTCCAAGCCCCATCCAGCCTGGCCCTGAACACTTCCAGGGATGGGGCAGCCACAGCTTCCCTGGGCAACCTGGGCCAGGGTCTCACCACCCTCACAGTGAAGAATTTCTTCCTAATATCCAGTTGAAATCTCCCCACTTTCAGATTGAAACCCTTCCCCCTCATCCCATCCCTCCCTGCCCTTTTCAAAAGTCCTTCCCCAGCTTTCCTGCAGCCCCTTCAGGCACTGGAAGGTGCTCTAAGGTCTCCCTGGAGCCTTCTCTTCTCCAGGCTTAATTACATTTTTTGTGGCTTTATTTCTTTAGAGTGTACGCACAGCAACTCAATACCATGTAGAATCATAGAATCCTTTAGGTTGGAAAAGACCTTTAAGGTCACAGAGTCGAACCATGGCCGTGGACTTGGATCTCCCAGGGGCTGATTACAGGTTCAGATAAGAACAAATCAAGCCTTGGACTGGATCTCCCAGGGGCTGATTACAGGTTCAGATAAGAACAAATCAAGCCTTTTGCAGAACGAAACCAGCATGTGGTCTGAGTTCTGCATCCCTCACTCTGTAATTCCCCTCACTGGTCCCTCAGCTCCTGCTGTGAACCTGAAACAGTCCCTTGATGAGCAGCACTTGAGCTTTGGGTGTTCTGGGCTGACACCAGGTGCCCCCGAGGGAAGGTGTGACCTGTATGGGCTGCGTGTGCTGCTCTGCTCTGCTCCGTGGTTCTGAGCCATCTCCTTCCTTCCTGCAGGTCATGTTGGCTCCTCTCATCTCCATTGCACTGAAACTTTCCCAGCTTCACGAAAGAACCGGCCGCACTGGTCCCACTGTCATAACATAAAGGCTTGGTCAGACACCGTGCTGGAGTGCACCCCGGGTGAGGGAAGTCTGTCTCCCCTTCTAGTGTCACATCTGTCACTAAAGGAAGAATATCAATTTTATTTCTGTATTTAAGAACACTATTGAACTGCTTGAGGATAGACAATAAAGCCCAGCCCCTGTCAACACTCTGGTGCACGTTGCTGTGCTGCTTTCCTGTGTCACACAGCACTGCTGGCAATTTGTGTATGGTGCTCGTTAGCACAGCTTTTTGGTTTAAGCATATGTACTTTTTTTCTTAAGCAAAAGGCTTTAGAAATAACAAAGAGATTAAATTTTTCAATAATAAAGGGTTTTGTTTTTTTCCTTTCATTCTTGGAAACCTTCCTGGAAAAGAAGCACAAATACTTTGTCCTTGTTAATACATAGTCTTTTAAATGTGGTGTCTCTGAGTAAGCAATGGCTGTGTATTAAGGCTGAGTATTTTTTGCTTACGTGGATTTTTCCCTTTCAAAAACAAATTATGTAAATTGACTTCCCTTTGCTGTCTGTGTAAGAAAAAAACCCACAACAAATCCTCCACAGAGAAATGAGCAGTAAGCATTGCAGGATATTAAAGTGATACGAGCTACAATTACTGTTTAGTGCTCTTTTATTTTCTTAGATCATGGTAGGCTCCCTTTTGAAGAATAAAAGATTGTTTTGATGAGCTCATTTGGTTGACTGTGCACAGTAAGATCCTTGGAATAATGAGATTTGCAGGCATTAATGTGCAAAATCTTATCCAAGGGCACAGAGTGTCACTTTGGAAATAGTTGTAGCTGTTGGATGTTAAAGCCCTGCAGCTGCACCTTCCTGCCCTTTTCCTGGAAGCCATCTCCTCAGAGCTGAGCCATGTTCCTGCCCGTGGCCTGACCAGCTGACTTTGCCCTGCAGAGGACTAGATGTTTTCATGCTGCTGACTTCATGACCCTCAACCACGGAGGTGACACCCTCCAGCAAAGGGAGAGCCTCTGGAAACCAGCCCCAGGTAAATCCCCAAAACCCTGTTGGTTTATTCCCTCCATCTCGAGGCTGTTGTGGCTTGAGCATGTTACTAAAAGCAGTTGTGTTAGTGGGAACGAGTTTAGGTGACTTTCTCCTTTAGGTTTGTTTGCCTTTGTCACCCAAATCCCTGCAGCAGCCATGCAGGGTCCCACCTCTGCCCTGGCCAGGCTCAGCAGTGCAGGGCTGGTGTGGAGGCAATGCCCATGCAGCTGAAATTCCAGCTGAGTCTCTGGGCAGACCTGAAGGCACAGTTCCACTTCCCAGGAATGTGAAACATCCCACCCTCACCCTATCCAGGATGATGCCAGTGACACTCCTGAGGTAGATGCAGATGTGCTGACAAAAATCTCTTTATCTGGTCTCCCTGGCAGAGCTGAGGTGTCTCTTCAGCAGCCTCCTCTGCTCAGTCTGCACGGACAGGTTTGCTGGCAGAGCTGCTTTGCTGTGGAGGTATCAAAACCCAAGAACCTCACAGCCTGTTGCTGCTTGTCCTCGGTGGCACTGAGCTCCTGTCCCTGCTCACTCCTACAGTCCAGCTCTGCTGGCTGGCTGTGCCCACCAGCGTGCACAGATAAAAGGTCCTGGGGAAGGGCCACAGCTGTGCTACTCCCACTGTGACCCTGTGCTCTGGTTTTGGACCAGCCATGGCCTGTGGTGGATGGATTCAGCTCAGTAATGCTGAAGAATACCAGGAGATTATCTGAGACATCTGAGGAAGCCACGCTCCTGCTCAGCTTCTGGCCACAAACTGTAGCAACAAGGATTTCTCCTTCCAATGAACAGTAGCAGTGATGGCACCTAGGTTTCTTCCACTCCAAGCAAAAAGGAAAACCAAAACCAAGCAATGTGATCCACTCTGGGTGATCCTGCTCTAGCAGGGAGGTTGGACTAGGTGTTCTTCAGAGGTCCCAGCATCCCAAAATGGTGCTGTGCTGGTGCAGGGCTCTCACCCCTGCCCCTCTTCCCACTGCAGCTGCTGTGGAGCTGCTGGTCCCTCCTGCTCCCAAGCTGCAGAGCAAAAGGAAGACTTCCTAGGAGGCAGGACAGGAGCAGAGGGCAGCAGATGGGTGCTGGCAAAAGCCTTACCCAGAGCAAGTCATGCCATGTCACTTCATAAAATACAACTACAGAAAAAAACCCAGCATCTGCAGTAAGGGGAGAAAGAGGAAAACAAAATCCCTAAATGAAACCCAGGAAATGGAAGATAAATAGAATCCAGCCTATGCTCCTTACTGATGTCCTCAAGTAAGCCAAAGGTGGATCAAAGTGAAATTGCACAATCCCAGCACATGAACTTTGATCTCCTGGGTCAAAAAAGATGTGTCGCTGGAGCTGGAGGTCAGCAGTGCAACCAGGAGCCTCTCACTTGTAAATCTTTGCTTCCAGCCTTCTCTGGGTTGCACAGCTGTGCTACTCCCACTGTGACCCTGTGCTCTGGTTTTGGACCAGCCATGGCCTGTGGTGGATGGATTCAGGTCAGTAATGCTGAAGAATACCAGGAGATTATCTGAGACATCTGAGGAAGCCACGTTCCTGCTCAGCTTCTGGCCACAAACTGTAGCAACAAGGATTTCTCCTTCCAATGAACAGTAGCAGTGATGGCACCTAGGTTTCTTCCACTCCAAGCAAAAAGGAAAACCAAAACCAAGCAATGTGATCCACTCTGGGTGATCCTGCTCTAGCAGGGAGGTTGGACTAGGTGTTCTTCAGAGGTCCCAGCATCCCAAAATGGTGCTGTGCTGGTGCAGGGCTCTCACCCCTGCCCCTCTTCCCACTGCAGCTGCTGTGGAGCTGCTGGTCCCTCCTGCTCCCAAGCTGCCGAGCAAAAGGAAGACTTCCTAGGAGGCAGGACAGGAGCAGAGGGCAGCAGATGGGTGCTGGCAAAAGCCTTACCCAGAGCAAGTCATGCCATGTCACTTCATAAAATACAACTACAGAAAAAAACCCAGCATCTGCAGTAAGGGGAGAAAGAGGAAAACAAAATCCCTAAATGAAACCCAGGAAATGGAAGATAAATAGAATCCAGCCTATGCTCCTTACTGATGTCCTCAAGTAAGCCAAAGGTGGATCAGAGTGAAATTGCACAATCCCAGCACATGAACTTTGATCTCCTGGGTCAAAAAAGATGTGTCGCTGGAGCTGGAGGTCAGCAGTGCAACCAGGAGCCTCTCACTTGTAAATCTTTGCTTCCAGCCTTCTCTGGGTTGTGCTGGGACACTTCAGCCCAGCTCCTGCCACGGTGGCATTTGTAGCAGAGAAGCATCAGGGACATGGGACCAAACCTGGCTGCTTTTCACTGCTGTTGTCACATCTCTGCTCCATCCCCTTTCACTGGCCCAGCTCAGGGGATGAGCATGGGACTCATCTGCCCCTTTCTCTATTCAGGCAAATCACTCCTGTGAAACCTCCTTTCTGACTTTTTGCCAACATTTTTACTGGCAAATGGGGATTTCAGCTCTCTAACAGAAGCCCTTGTTCCCTGAGAGCACTTAGTGCTGGGCTGTGGTAGAAACACCTTCTCTTTGCTGCTGCTCTGCAGCACTGAGCCAGCTGGTGCTTCCCTTTTCCATCTGCAGAGGAGGTTTGTAACTGATTTAGTGGAGAAAATGTGTGGAGTCTTTGGGGCTCTAATGAAGGGCTCCACTTCCTTACTGCTTGTCAGACATTGTTAGCACAGAGGCTCCTGTGACTTGGGCCAGAGGAATCAATCTGGAAGCACGAGCTGCTCGGCCAGGAAAGGGCAGATGCAGTCAGCAAGGAAGCTTCCAAATTAATCTGGGGAGTCTCCTTTCTTCTGAGCACTTGAAAGACCAAGGCTAAATCTACTTGACAGCTTCTTCTGTAGGGACACATATGGCATGGAAACATTTGATCTCTCAGTCAGCTAATAAGCTTGAAAACAATGTAAATTGGTGATTATAAAACACACGGAGAGACAAAAGGAGAATTTACGTTTGCACTGTAGAGCTTCAGTCAGAGGTAATGATAAAAACAAACTAGAATTGCAGAGAATACATTTTGTAAATTGTGTTAGCACCTGAATAGCTGCTTGGTAAACTGATCTAGATCAGTCTTAGATCTCAGTCTGCTGACCCAGGGGAAGCTCGTGCCTGAGCTGAGTTTCTGTGCCTTGCCTGGCAGGATTGGGTCTCAGAGGCTTTCCTTGCTGCCAGCTGCAAAGCACTAAACCAGAAAGTTGGGATTAGTGAGAGAAAAACAATTTGGCTGCTCTAATTTGCCTTTTAAGTGTTGCGTGAACAAGTGACCCCGTAGTTTCTGGTTGGCCTCTTTTTAAAGCAGGTTAGTCCTGAGTTCCTTCTGCTGGAACTGTGGGCATTTTCAGTCAAACTCTGTGCATGACAAACTGCTCTCTTGCCCATAATGTTGCTCGATGGCAGCACGTAGCTCTCCTCTCCTGGGGCTCCTGAATTTCAGCATCTTCTGAACAAGATGGAAACCATCCTGCAGGCTCATGGCTTTATCTGAGCTGCAGTTCATCCATCTGTTCCTTTCTGCTGCACCTACAAGTGGAGTCCAAACTGTCTCCCCCCCAATGTCGCTACCATTCCCTCATGGCAATTTGTGCCTGTGCAGCCCCTTCCCATGGGATCTGGAGCCTTGCATGGGAGAAGGAGGTGGCTACAGGCAACAGAGTGCTCTTGGGGAGGTCTGGGTGGATTTGCTTGCTGGGTCTTGGCAGTTGCCTGAGTGCCAGCAAGTCTCTGACCACACAGCAAATGAAGGGAAAGTGGCTGGTGGTTACGGGGAATGGGCACAGCTCTGAGGATGGGAGACTTCCCTTCTCCGTGCCGAGGTTCTGGTAGTCATCATTTTCTCAGGAAATTCCCTTTTCCCCCTGGCTCTATTACAGCAGGTTCCTTCCAAGTCAGCAACTGTGCAACAACTGGAGAGCCTGCTCAGCCCATGCAGCACCTCACGGGCCGTTTGCCAGAGATGTGGTGACTGAGGTGTTTGGCAGGTCTTGGCCCCTCGGTGCCACTGGGTATTTCTATGAAAAATTACCCCTGCTCCTTCTTTGCTTCTCCTCAGACTAAAGCTCTGGACTCCTGTCCTGGAGGAGCCCAATTAGATCCAGATGTCTCGCTTGTTGTCCGTGTTTTCATCTTCATCC